CGCACGGCTAAGAGTAGTTGGAAGGTCCAGGAGTCCTGATGGGGTTCCACAGGTGGTTGGAGTTCCTAGGGGGGATCCCAGAATAGGTTGTAAGAACCTGAGGGTATCCAGGGGTTCCAGGTATGAGGAGGTTAGGGGGCCTAGGGGATCTTGGGATGGGTTTAGAGGCCTGGGAGAGGTCCCAGGGATTTGAGTGAGAATTGCTGGGGGGTCTCAGGGGAGTTTGGCAGGTCCCAGGGAGTCTAGGGGTTCTTGGGGGGGTTCTGGCAGGGTCCCACAGGGGTCGGAGGGCACCTTCTTCTCGAGGATGGCGTAGCCGGCATCGGCAGTGGCTGACTCACGCCGCTCGTCCTCACGCAGGGCACTGACGGGCTGGAAGCTGTTTTTGAAGTTTTCCTTCTGCTTATTGAGGCTGCGTGCCCAGCGTTCCATGTCCTTGGCAATCTGCACCCATATTGTGGGGTGGGGAGTTGTACTCAGCTGGGTCTGCCCCAGAGCAGGGTGCATTACTGCCTTCCCCACATAACATTCTACCCAGCCGCTTCCTATCTGTTCCACCCCAGAGCTGGCTACATCTCATCATCTTCACACGTTCTACTCAGCTGTTCCCTAGCCACCCCACCCAAGCTGGACACATGGCAGCCTTCCCTGTGCAGCATTTTCCTTAGCCATTCCCCTGCTGTTCCACCCCAGAACTGGCTGTATCTTGTTTACTTCATGTAATGTTATATTCAGCCATTCCCCACACCCCAGAGCTGGCTGCATCTCAGCCTTCTCCATGCTGTTATACTCAGCCATTCCCAAGCTGCCCCACCCCAGAGCTGACTACATTTCACCCCTCCCTGGGCAGTGTTATACTTTATACTTTACTGTTCCCACCGACTGTGTCCCAGAGCCAGCCACATCACAGTTCTTTAGGGTGGTGTTATACACAGCCATTCCCCAGCTGTCCACCCCAGAGCTGGCTGCATCCCAGCCCTTCTCAATTACTGTTATACTCAGCTGTTCCCCAGCTCACTCCAGAACTGGCTGCATCTTGGGTTCCCCATGCACTGTTACACTCAGCCGCTGCCAACCGCCCCACTCCAGAACTAGCTAAAGTCCACGCAGTGCTATACTCAGCCACCCCTAACAATTCCACCCTAGAGTTGGCTACATCTCAGCTCTGCCCATACAGTGCTCTAACTCAGCTATTCCTCAGCTGTTTGACCCCAGAATTGGCTGCATCTCCAGTTCCCCATGCAATGCACTGTTATATTCAGTCATTCTCCAGCCATCCCACACACAGCTAGCCACATCATGGTCTTCTTCATGCCACATTATATACTCAGCTGCTCCCAAGCGGCCCCATCCCAGAGCTGGCTGCATCTCACCTACCTGCTGGGCTGTCTTCGTTTTGTGCTTCTCTTTCTTCTCTTTGCCCTCTTTGGTGCCTCCTGCACCTGCCCCATCCTTGTGGGCGTCGGTGCCAGGCTCAGAGGCAGGTACATAGGTACGGCGCTCCCCATCCCAGTACAGGTACTGCTGCGTGCCAGGGTTGTAGTAGTACTGGGGGGAGGGGAGAAGGATCAGCCTGGCAGGGACCACACCTTCAAGACCCTAGCCCTGCCCCCAGCATCCCACCCCTGCCTGCTAGGACCCGCCCCCCCAGAGATCCCAGGTATCTGGCATCTGCAGCCCAATCCCAACCTTTCCTCCC